AAGATTATTCACACGAATGAGGACTGCAAGATTCGAATGGTTTTATATATGTTAAACAAAAGCATAAAAGAATCAGGACTAGCACACATGTGGTGTCAGCCATGCTAAGGCAGCAAGTACAGCGTGTATGTTTTTGAAAAATGTTATTGCACACCACAGTGAAACTCATTAGCCCAAGACAGCTAACGCTGCATAAGATATGTAAATGTAGCATATACATAAATGAGTTGGAGCCCCAGTTGCACACTGCAGCCATAATGCATTGAAAATAAAGATGCAAGAAAATTACCCCCTCGCCCAAACATTTTATCCTAAAAAGCACATAAGTCAGTGGGAGCTTTGGTGGGTGATGAATGCAGCATCACGTCCACCAGTCTAATACTGATGCCCAGACTCCACGGCTTAAGCCTGGGAGAACTTTCACTACAGAGTTCATGAATGTGTGCAGGACACTGAAAATGCAAGGATGTGGAAGTCACATGCTGCAAGTAGCTGGGCTCCTTCAATTTCCGCTGAATTTGAGCACTGAAAATGCTTGGCACCTCATAGCATTAGGTTGATAATGCCATCTATACAGCGGACCAAATTCTGAGAGGAGCTAAGCAGTACGCAGCCTTCACTGAATTACACTAGATTTTTGAAGAACTGACCCAGTGAAAATTGCAAGTGATCTCAACCTTGTAGGACAGAAATGCCTTGCTCTCATTCACAACTCATTCACTCACAGCAACAATGTTTTTTTGTCCATCTGCAGCTATTCCAAAGCAAAGCATAGACCAACAGAAAGAAATAATAATCTGGAAGGTACGTCCCTTGCAGGAGGAAAATTATTTTCTACTCCCACAGAAAAAGCAATGTGGATCCAGCAGCATCCTACACTGAATTTTGAAACACACTTGCTTTCCTCCCCAGCACACATGCATATTTTCAACAAAAGCAAGATCAGAAATGAGAGCTTCAAATCTAAATTTCAAATCAGTCAAGACTCTAGTCAGACACCAAAGCAGAAGATTCTTACTTTAAGGTTTTATTAAACAATTCCAATCTTTATCACCACTATGTCTGTATCCACTTTTTGCTGCTGCCTATGAATGTAGAATAAATATTTCTAAATAAACAAACTATGAGGAATTAGATCATTTTTGCACAGTACTTTGAGGTCCCAACTGTAAAAATCAAGACAACACAAGGGGATCTTTTACAGCTCAGAGACTTACTGAAGATAATGGATCCAGTGCAATGAGCCAATCCTGTGGACACAGCCGCAAAATCAGTTCCATGGGCCATTATCCACCTGCTAGACATGGTCATTATTGCTATTTTATTATTGCATAGGAATAGGTCACAGGAACAAAACTTTTGTAGTTGGAGAAGCTAAGACAAACCTTTCAAATAAAAAGTATGGTCCTTGATTCTGCCATTACATCAAAGCTTGTTCTTACGGAAATGCGAGCAATTTCAGAAAAATCATCATCATCATACCCTTGTTGTTGGATAAAGTAGGAGGAAAAAAAAATGAGCTGCAAGATCAAAACTAAGAAACAAAATATGATGATTAGAAAAGCTGCCAGAGAAAATTAGGAAGTAACAGAAAAAAGCTAAGAGTTGTAATGAGTTTTAAATCTATTTAAAAAAATCCCTTCTTCCCTCTAATGTAGAACTTTCTCTGGCCAAACATTCTATTCATTTAAAAATATTCCCTGGCCACCAGAGACACAGAAATTAGTTCTTGACCTGGCTGGATGATAGACACAAAACTTCCCATTAGGTTCTCCTGGCTGAAGTCAGCCAACCCTAGCTTCCTACAAGGGGTACTTTTTTTTCCACTGGGAAAAAAGCACTGCCTTAGAAAATGCAGGTACAAACACAGTGTGCCAAGCATGCTGTTCAGCACTACCTTACTCCAACAACCAACACATTTTTCAACACAACCATCCATATCCACAATACAAGCAAAATTGTGCTGGTTGTGTTGGCTAAAATGCAGTCGGATGCTGTGCAGTTTCCTGAGAGGGGCAAAAAAATGTCACCTCTATACCCACTGGTATGCCTTGAGTTGGGGAGAAGATGCAGATTCTCAGCTGATGTAAACTGTTTCTGCTCTCATAACTGCTGAACTTTACATCAGCTGGGCCCCTGATCTCTGGCTTCTGCTAGCCCTGGCCTTAAACTCCAACTCCTCTGTTATATAGTAAATTCACTCCTATGTTCAAACACTTTAAAAGACATCTAAAGCTTTTGGACACACACCCCTTTTGCCTGTAGATAAATGGAAAGGACTATAAGAAAGAAGTAATTTATTAGAGGAAAAGAAAATATAAGTTTTCATATTAATAATCTGGGGTAAACTTAAAGCAACCAAATTTCAGAGAGAAAAATCTGGGACATAATACTGGGCACTGGACAGTCTGTTTTGGCCCCATCCAACTGAACACTATGCAAATGCTGGGCCTGATCAGGATGCTGCCTGGCCTCCAGCTGGGACCAGTCTTTTCGATTTGGGATGAAAGTCTCTTTTCAGGGAGCTCTTGGGAATAGAGCCCCAAAATTCAAGACTATCATGGAAAGTCCAGGAGAGTTGGTTGCTCTAACCAAACTGAGCCAGATGTAGCCTGGCAGCAAAAGCACTGAGAAGAAAGCATGACTCAGAGACAATCCTCTGCAGAATAACTCCTCCAGATCTCCTCTTTTCCAGCAGGGGTCCAGGAACATACTCTATTAAGAAACGGGCACACCCCGATCTCTAAATGCCCAGATAGATGAGCACTCTTGGCCAGCATACAGAGGTACCACCACAGCTCTCCCTACTCCCTGCCCGCTTGCTCACAGTAGGGAGCTATGGGTGAGCAGTTTCTGCTCCTTCCGTGCACCCATCCAAAACCCTTTAACTCTGCTGTGCAGAAGAGTTATTATTCCTACCAATAAGTATTTCTAAAGCATTCATCCAGTGAGACCTTGTAATACAAAATTAATAGTAAGTCAGTAAGTTCCATCTCTCCACATGTGGACTGAAGCCCTTTTGGGACAACCAGTGCCCAAATGTGCACTGCCCAGGAGCTGTGGCAGAGCAACAGAGGTAGGATCACATCCCACAAGACAGCCAGAGTGAAAATAAAAAATAATATGTAAGAGGGCATTTTATGCCTCTGTTTTGAAGTTTATGTTGAGGGTTTGGGCGGCATCCATTAGCATTGTCCCTTCCCAATTGTTACAGGGACAACTCTAAAATGCTGAGAGGAAACCATCTGGGAAGCAGCACGGATAGAATACAACAATAGAAACACAGTGCCCGCCCCTGCAATGCACATCTCTGTGGACCACTCCTGTGAATCCTTATGTCCCAGCATCTCCATGCAAAAAATAACCCATTTTCTTTTCTTCCACCACAATATCCATGTAGCTTCTTCCAAGCATCCCCTTCTGGAGCAGTGATCCTTTCACCCACCCATCAAACTGATATCAAGAGCTGGAGTCAATCAGTGCAGCTCCAGTAAAGTCAGTGGAGCAACATCGATTCACACCAGCCCAGGATTTGGCTTTTGCCAGACAGGAAACCAACACAGCAGTTACTCTAGGAAAGACCTAAGATAACAAATCTTAAAAGAAAAATCATGGAACCAGCACAACACCTGCTACCATGGCATTCTTCATGCTGCTTGTATGTTGTACCCTGCCCCCATCCCGTGTCTCGCCTGTACCTTTTGCCTGGAAACTCTTCCAGCCAGAAACAGGCTACTCCTCAGCCTTTGTATAGCACTTAAGCACAATGGGGGACGAGCTCCTGGCTGCTCTGTAGGCAACAGTGTCAAGAATATTCAATTTTAAGGATTTTTTTTCTCCTTTTACAAGCGCTCTCCCTCTGAAGGATGCTGCCGTCACAGGCACCTCCAAAAGCAGCAAGGAAATATGAACTGACATGCCTTTTTTTTTTTTTTTTTTTTTTTTTTT